AGATTGAGTCTGGAAAATGAGCTACGTGCCCTTGACCAGAACCAAAACTGAGACCCTTCAGTTCTCTGGCCGACAATCTACCTACTGAGACAAACTGGCCAGGGCTATTTAAAGTATTTTTTTTTGTAAGTCCATTAATGTTTCAATTTTATTATAGTTTTATATCACACTAGTTCAAATGCATTTCTCTATAACTACAGCATAGCTCCTTTGGAATTATTTCAGTTATCTGTAGAACATGTGACTATCAAAGACTTTGAATCTCAAACAAACATAAAATTTCAAATTATTAATTTTTAGATGAAAGGGATAAGAAAAGCCATTAGGTGATGGTTGGTATTGTTAATTTCCAATAAGACACTGTGTTGAAACGTTTCTTCTGACACAGCAGTCATAAATTAGAACCTTCAAAAAACAAGGGCAGAACCAAAGTATAATGAAAGAAGCTTCTGCAGTGTACGCCTCCCACAGTCCTCAGCCTCTGACAGAAGCAAGGCACAGCATCTTCCCTGAAAATTAAGTGGGCTCCCAGTATTTTCATGCAGTTGAGCTAGACACTCAAGACTTATCATTAATGTATATCCCATCTTGGCTCTGGGTGCATTAATTATGCCTGAAGAGCTTAATACCCATCCAAGTCCACAGGTGGAAGAACACATACACTGGTATGGTGATGGGCAAGAGCAGACTGTAAAAGCACAGGCTGGCGGTGCTGGTGCAGCCCTGTGGGAAGTCTTCTTCCACGGAGGCTGAGTAGAACAGTCCTGCTAAGGAGATCAATGTAGGAAGAGACAGAAACATTCTCCTCTTCCACTTACTACCTGCCACCCTGACTTTTTAAAAGGTCAATGGTGGTAAGAAAATCTGGCTGTATGCGTCGTTTTTAATTATTATCTAGTGCTGCTCCATATCTTCTTGCTTCTTATTTTGATGTGCCATCATCCTAGCTGCCTGTGGTATCATATTAGGGATCCCATCAATAATTGGATAGGCTATTCCCAACTCGTCATTAATCAATTCATTTGTCGATGCTTCATAACGGAGCGGCTTCTTGGAGAGCCGGCACACCAGGAACTCCAGCAGCGCCAGGTCGAAGGCGTGGGTCGGCTTTCCGGGCCTCTCGCTCTCGCAGGCACCTACGGGCGACCGTGGACGAGGGCGCGTCCCCGCGTCCCCCGCAGCACTGCGCCCGAGGTGCCCGCACTCAGCATGGTCCGGCCGCCCGCGACTGCCCCTCGCCCCCCCACCACCAGGCGCCCCCCCCTCCCCCCACGCTGACCCCGCGCATCCGGCCCTGACACCCAGGCCCCGCCCCTGGGTGCGCTGGGAACGCAGTCCGACCTATTTAAAGTATTTTTTTGTGTGTGTGATTAATCACTATGCTTTAATTATTTTCAATTTGTAACAATGAAAATACATCCTGCATATCAGATATTCACATTACGATTCATAACAGTAGCAAAATTACAGTTAGGAAGTAGCAAATGAAAATAATTTAAAAAAAAATTTTTTTTTTTATTAGTTAAGGTATTACAAATGTGTCCTCATCCCCCCCCCCCATTAATCCCCAACCCCCCCACACGCCCCGCCCCGCGCCGCACACTCATGCTCCCATCCCCCTGTTGTCCATGTCCATTGGTTAAAACCTCTTTTTCATTTTTAGATTTGAGGATTTAGTGAAATGCTGATTACAATGAATTAGCAATGTAAAGTATTTTCTTGTGCTCTGGTACTCATTAATCAGGCACTTTTAGATTTCTATAAGTTTGCCTTGAATGTAGAATGCTTTTGTTTTATTTCATTGTTGATATTCACATGAACACTTTTGGTCCATAATGCCTGAATGGTACCACTAGGCTGTGGCTGCATTTGTGGGCATTAACCATGTCAAACATAAGGTAACAAACTTCTAGTTCCCTATAAGTTGTTTGTCTCATTTGTGTTACCTGCAGAGTTCACTAGCACAGCAGAGTTTATTTTGTTACATTAATAGCTCATGCTTTGGTCTTTCATCACGCCCAGAAAG